TTGCTGTGAAAATGCGTTCGTCAACCTCTCACGCATGCGTGTACCGATCTTAGAAGTTCGAAAGAGATTTGTGTCCTGAGCCATGCGATAACGGTGCTATACGGCTCGGTGTCCTTCTGAGCTATCTTATCTGCAAGATGCTTCAGGAAACGCTGACACTCATTTCCCATTCCGCCATTGGTTCCAAACACTAAAGGTGTGAATGAACCCATCTCTACATCTAGCACCCGCTGCAGGTACTCGCGTTTCTTCTCGTCCTCTTGCTCCTTGAATACTTCAAATGTTGTCTTGTTCTGGTAACACTTAGAGGTAACATGTGTAACTCTTACATCGAAAAATGCCGTAACTCCTCTTGACCAGAAACCTCCCGCTTTGATGTCTAATCTTGCCTCAGAGCTTGTGACGGCACTTCTCAAATGCAGCCGTTCCTTGTCGAGGGGTTGAAGGCGTGGTTCAATTTCCACATTGTTGCAGACCTTATTGATGAATGCCTTTAATAAATCACGGACATCATCACGTCTCTGTGCTACAAAGCCCCCCTTTTTACATGAGGGGGCATAGCCTACAATAAATTTATCCCCACACACACATAGACTTGGTAGATCGACTACTTATTGCTATAATTATTGTTAACATGATTATTTGTTACCTCTTAATTATTGTTTGAGTTACATGTAGTCACTATCTTCTTGAATCATCTTTCTCTTGGTACTCATAACAAACGTAGGGTGAGGCAGGTTTTCTGTTTCTCTCAAATGTTCTGCAACACTACCTTCTAGCATTTTAAAACATTTAGTTTTTTTCAATGCCAGAAAAGTTGTTTTATATCATTAGCCGCATACAGTCTTACTCTGCCTATTTAAAATTTTGGACACTAGTGGTTGATTTCGGATTGTAGACCCTAGTGGTCGATTCTGGATTTTGGTCACCAGTGGTCAATTTTGGACGCTAGTGTCGGATTTTGGATTTTGGACACTAGTGTCTTATTTGGATTTTGGACATTAGTGGCCGATTTTAGATTTTGGACAGTGGTGGTCGATTTTGGATTTCGGACCCTGTTGGCCGTTTGAAATTTTGGGCCCCAATGGGCATAGTTTTATTTATATGCGCCTAGAAACAGGGAAACCGTGAGGCTTTGGAGCTGAGACCGCTAAAGTATTATTATATTACTATTGTCATCATATTGATAATTGTTAAAATCATGTCTCTCTTGTGGAACAGCGTACTCATAAATATATGAGATGCAGCAGGTTTTCTGTTCTGCATGTCACTTCATATCTTCTGCAACACTACCTTCTAGCGTCATTATACAACTTTAAGTTCTTTCCAGTGCTTTAAAAATTGTGCTATATCAGTAGCCACATGCAGTCTTGGGCTGTCTATTTTTGTTGTTGTTGTTGTTGTTGGCGAATTGCCGACACACATTTTTTAATCGTCCTGTCTCGGTCATACAAACTTTGCGCTGCCTTTGTAGCTAAGTTAGAAAGATATATGCTTATTCCTTGGGGGTTAAATTCAAGCTCAAGCGAAAACTCCTCCTCCCACTGCCCCCTATTTGATAGAGAAATTTCCCATCTTGAAAAGTTGGCATCTCTTTAAAAAAAGTACACTTCCTCAGCACTATAATTTTTGCCATGAGATAGACCGTCAACGCGGCGCATTTGGATGCCTTGAAATCTTCTCTCTATTATCCTTGTTTTAATTCCTCAAGGAAAAGAAAAATTGTGCAAGAAGAGGTTCGACGAGATACTGTCATCCTTCCCTGCAACTCCTTTGGGTTTGTTTGTACCGAAATGTTTAGATGATGGTGGTTATCGAGCTATTCAGTGCCATAACTCTACCGGATACTGTTGGTGTGTGGATGACTTCGGGAACGAATTAGCTGGAACACGAGTTAGAGGACAGCAGAATTGTTCAGGTGAGTCTTGTGTTTTTTTTTCAAAGTTGACATATTTTCAAAGGATCATCAATTTTTTTTATTTACGTTCTACATATTATTATGATAGCATTATCCACCACCCTATAACGATTTGTACTGAGAAAATCTGAATCATCAGTTTTGTAGGATCCTATTTCTCACAACGTTGCCTTATTCATGAAAATCGGGTCAAGGGTAACTCTGTCAGTCTGTGGGGGTGGGGGAAGGTGACTTTTACGGATTTAAACTTTAAGTTGGCTTATCTGAGGAAAATTCTAATTGCTCTGAAGGCGTTATTTGAACTCATTTTAGCTGATCCCATGTCTAGCTAACTTTTTAGTATCTTTACCGAAGTTTTCCAGAAAGTGCTTTCAACGTAACTTTAATGTTGTTCGTGTATGTTCGGGGTGTGGCCATAAAACTGACACCTCCTTACATCCTCTCTAGCCTCCACAGATCAAAAATTTACCTTGTGTCAAAGCCGCTACAACCACGCCTCCGAGATAAACGAGCGTGGTCGGCCCGTGCCACTCTGTAAAACTGATGGATCATTTAAAACAACCCAATGCAACTCAGTGACCGGAGAGTGTTGGTGCGTTGATGTGGAAGGAAATGAGAAGCCCGAAACCAGAAAAGTTGGGGATCCAAACTGCGAATCTAAAGGTAAATTTAATAACTATCAATTACAAATTTGTTAGGCCAGAGCTGTATTACCTTTAGGCGTACATAGTTGCCAAAATAAGAAGTGCAGTAGTCCTGCAGATTTACTCAGAATGCGTGAACGTCCCGCTTGACCTATTGTTTGAAGTCGTGAAATGTCTGTCAATTATAGATGTTGAGACGAACTGCCAGCTTCTGCCAGACCCAGGACCATGCGAGGTGTTTGAGCCGTCTTGGTTCTTCAACAAGACTAGCGGAATGTGCGCAGTATTTACTTATGGAGGGTGCAAAGGCAACGCCAACAGATTTACTAGTTATGATGAGTGTCAAGCAGATTGCCATGGTACGTAAAATGTGACAGAACTTACTTAGTAATGATATGCATTCAGATCAATTTTGCCTTTGTGAACGATAAAATTACATACGACAGGATCAATAATTTTTCAAGAATGATTTACTGATAACTCGATTTTAGCTGATCCTGTCTTACGCCTTTATCATATAATATGTCTCTCTTCGTTTACAAGCATATCTTTGGAATTTTTAAGACAGAACAATAAATTAAGAAAAATCAATTAACAAAATCAATGAAACAAATTTCTATCTTTATATTCAGGTCGGAATTTAACTTTCTGTGAATTGCAACGCGAGATAAACATCGCGAGCTCCAACGGTTTCATTCCTCGCTGTAAAGATAACGGGGATTTTGAGCCTTTGCAGTGTCAACGTACATTAGGCGAGTGCTGGTGTGTAGACGAGTCTGGCATAGAGTTGCCTGATTCTCGAACGGATGGCTCGCCTGATTGTAGCGGAATAGACGGTAACATTTTTCATCATTTATGTATGTCTAACGATTGTTTTCATGCTTGTAGATTTTTAGGAGTCGTTAAGGAGGGAAAGGAGTGGGGAGGGGGGTGGGGGTTGATTATGTAGCACTAAAAATTTTTTCGTCTATTCCTTCATCTCTTTCATTATTTCTGTCTTATTTTGTCTGCAAATAGTTTTAAAAACTTTCTAATATTTTAATTGCATACCTTTATTTCAACAGCTATCGGAGGACGACGAAACAGATGAAAGATAACCACTGTAAAGTAAAAATTCAATTAACAACTGTAACTGATCCATCTTAGCATTGCTTGCATTGTTTGCCGAAAAGCATTAAATAAGTGTTTCACTCTTTTTGAGCAAAGCATTGCTGAAGCAACCATCAAGGGCCTCACGCTTTAGTCCTAAACAACATTTTAAACTTACTTCCTTGGTTAACACCCCTTTAACAACTTTTGATTTAACCCCTGGCGTAGCAAAACAGTTTTTCCCAATCAATCTCAAGTTAAGGAATGACCTGTCTGCTGATCTTGTAGAGAGGCTTTTGCAAAAAAACAATTCATCTAATTCTTGAGCTTGCATAGCTTGCGAATTTTGGTTTCATGCGCAAGAAACCAGCTTCTTGTCGCATGTTTGTGCCCTCTTGCTGTTGGGTCCCCGTCCAATCACTCTTCTAGTGAATTCAAATGCTTGCAAGGCAGGCTACGGCATGGAACGCTTCTCAGCAAACTTTTCACTTTAATGTGGTAAAACTGTACATTTGCACTTGACTCATCACCTCTACATCTCTATCATGAGGGTCCCAACGGGGCGATGGCTTTTACGGCTAACGGTTAAATTCTGGTCATTTTACGTATAACTGTCAACCCAAAATGACACATGGTGGAAAGGAAAATTGTTATACTTAACTTCTTTTAAGACTAACTGTTAAAATTGGTCAATTTTACGGCTATTAGTTAATCCCGTTGAAACCCTCTATCAGGTGTCACGTAAGTTTAGTAACAAACTGATTTCCATATTCATACCGAAGTGGACCATTTTTAAAATTGTGTTCGCCAGCATTACTATAGCCTAAGAAAAGAGGCTTTCCCTGCATTCAAATGTTTGCTCCTTAGGTGTTATAAAGCACGATAGTCCTAGGTTAGTCACAGATAAATATATTATCTTACAAGTTTCGTCCACGTCGATAAGCTTTAAGGTTTCACAATTATTTGTATGTATTAACCTTTGTATGGTAAGGTATGTTAGGGTTGAATAAATCATAATTTTTCTGCTCTATGCGGTTGTCAAATGTGGCGCTTGTTAAATGAGCAAAAAGACGCAAATTTAGCAGCAATTAGGTAAAGAAACGGTCTCAAAATTAAACAACCATCATTATTTTCGTCGAGACACACAAACGCACCTGCAAGCTTGCGTGTATGTATGCACATATAGATAGATACCTAATGTTTTTTATGTTGCAGGTTAGGCAGCCAATCAAAGCTAATCTGGACCTGCTAAATTACCAAGGAAAACGAAATGAATAGTTGAATAAGTAAATGGATAAATAAGGAATAAAATGATTAAAAATAGATAGTCAAATCCGAACTATACACTTTGATCTATGGTTTCGCATATTTTGGTGACCCACTTTCTTCTGACTGCCAGGGCAGGAATTAATACGTCCCTTACTACTTCAGTTATTTGCCAAAGCAACGCCAATAAATGCGATGTTTTACAGTGCTGTAATCAAATAGGTGGCGGATCTGAGTGTTATGACTGCTAAGCTGTCTGTGTCTGAAGAGCGTGTTTTCTTATCTTCACACCTTAATATGGTGCATCTTAATGGTTTGCTAAAGCGTGAGAGCTTTGTGGCATATACCACAGGACTCACAAGAGAGCAGAACGTCTTAATAAATCTCATTAAAAGAACTGCATTGCATGGGAAATCCCACGTTAAATACGATGTTCCTTCCAAAATTTCCACCGGCAACCACATCGCAAAGTAGATAATCGCGCAAAGTGTAAACGCCCTCGAAAGATAAAAGTTTTGTGTTTGTAACTTCCAAACGGTGGCATTTCGATTAAACGAAGGTCGTTTCCAAATTAAAATGTAATTGGTGACGATAATGGTCAAGTTGATAATCTCCACAAACCATACCACCACTTTAGCGATAAGAACCCGATAAAAACCAGCCAGGGCAAATGCGAAGGTCATGCTCACCGCCATCGACAAAATCCAGATTAAAAAATTAGCCGTCATGTAGCATCTGAAACGAGTGAAAATGTGAGTTAGAGGCCAGAAGGTCCTGTAATACATGTCTAAGGAGATTGCAGCCAAGAAAGAGGTCGAAAAAGTGTCGCAGAGCGTTTGCAAAGAAAGATGCAGTTCGTCATGATTCAAACTGCAATGATGTCCATCTGATCGCAGCAAACCTAAGAAAATCGCGATAGCAGCCAAGCCTCTAAGAATGTCCGTGAATGACAGGCTAATCGCAAAGTATCTGACAAGATTGAAACGCCCTCTTATAAGAAAAGCAATGGCATAAAGATTTCCCAGAAGTATCAGAGTGGCCTCTGTTATGAAAACCACACACCACGCAGTAAGCACTTTAAAACCAAACGAATTTAGTTCTTTGTTGGAGAAGCTTGACGAACTGATCTCCATTGAAAAGTTCATGCTGTGGAAATGAACAAAAGAATGAACAAAATATGAAGAGAGTCCAAATGAAAGATTCAGATTTATTTGGAGGGATGATAGGCTCCACGCAGTCATGTAAACAGACAATGGAAGAAAGAGGAGTTTTATCAATTTTTTGATTTTGAGTGAAAATGAGAAGAGAGTAATCTTTATTGTTATTAGAAATTCAAAAAGAAGTTTTGAGGTTGAAATCTCTTCCTGCTGGGCTGACATACTGAGTATACTTTACATATTAATCAGTCGATCTTCGACGTCTCGGTTTGTAATCAAGCTTGGAGATCTCCCTTCGAAATCATTTTTAGGGAAAAAATGCTGCGGTAATTTTACTTGAGAGAGAATAAACGTTTGTCGACACATTATCTCCAATCTAAGCAACTGAAGTTTTGGTCCTCGTAATGAACCAAAATGCATTCATTATTTATTATTTACTTCATCAACCCTTCCAGCAGATTTTCTCTTTGCTTGAAAAACATACTTCAAATAAATCACCACTAATATTTTGGACATTTCTCATTTGAAATTACTGTTCATGACCTCTTTCGTTCTAGAAAATAAATTTTCTCTACGAGACTTATTCTATAATGACTGACTGAACTCGAGAGGAAAAAATTATGCTCCATTGCAGTGAAAGCGATAAACTCGTTCAGCATAATTATACAAATAGAAATTGCGTAATAAGAAACTTACCTTCAACAATTCCTCTTTTTAACAACTTAACCTTAATACTTTAAATGGTTGGGAAATGTTTAAATTCCAACTTGGAATTCTTTTATATTCCCATATATAGTGCCGTTTGAGTTTCTCAAGTTTAAAGGACACTGCAGATGTATAAAAAACAGCACGGAAATTCTGGTCTAAAAATAACTCACATGCTATTGGTGGAAGTTTTGTTTATTTTTTCTTGAGTTTCCTGGATACCTTGTTTAACCCTTGTTTCTTATTAGGGCCCATCTGGTCTCGAAAAGCCAAAAAAAAAGTAATAGAAATACTGCATAGGTGAGAAATGAACGGATTTATCAATAAGAGCAACGTCAACCGATATTTTTTTTTTAGCCTCCAAAGGCATAAACTGCAACCACCCCTAAAGAGATTCATTGCATAAGTTTATTTAAATCAATTTTTATTGTGATCCTTATAACTTACTCCATCATACGAAAATTACTTTTTTAAAATACGTGATCGAATATGAATAAAAATTTAATGTATGATAAGTTTTGAGTTTCCTAACTCTAAACTTAATGTAAATTTAACGATGTTTGCTTTAAGGATTTTCTTTAGATTCAATTTATAATTTGGAGAGGCACATCCTCTATGCGCTATTTCCTTTCTGTTGTCATTGTAATCGATTCAAGCGAACACAAACGCTTTCTTAGAAAGCCTTTGTTTAAAGAAATATAATTATATTGGGTGTAGGGTTTTCAGATAATGAACATTTCTCAACCACTTGAGCTTGGTAATTAAAAAGGAACAATCTAAAGGAAAATATTAGAACCACACACATACATAATCTGCCATGCCTTTTCTCTTTGGGATGGCTTCAAAAAAATACTAGTTTTGAACATCTTTCAATATGAATTTAGCCTCCAAAAGGGAGAGATAAATTTGGGAGAAACGGCGAATTTACATGAAAGATATGCAGTTTTATCGAACTTTTATCATGGACCGTTCTCTTTGCAGCAGAAACTCTAGCTATAATCGCAGGAAATATCATCACCGTCATTGTCTTCTGGAAAATGAGATCTGATTTCAAGAAGACATATTACCTTCTGATAAACCTCTCTATAGCCAATTTGACAGTTGGGATTTCGGCCTTGGAAATAACTATCAGCAACATTTGGAATCTTGCAATATCGCAAAATATTTTCTTGAAGAAATTCTTAGCCTTAGATGTCCTCGCCGAGAGTACCTCTTAAGTTACATTGATGTTCATCGCTCTAGAAAGATTTTACGCAATAACGTATCCTTTGAACCACAGAACCTTAACCAAACGGGTTTATGTCCATGGTGTTTTGTGGCCGTGGGCTTGTGGTATGTTAGTCGCACTGATCAGCTTCTCTCCAGAGCTCCTTCCCGATTCAGCATTTCCCCTCGTTGCCCCTCTGATTTTGACATCTCTGGCCGTGATCGGTGTGTTGGCCGTTAGCATTTTGTACACGTTCATCTGGATTTTCTCGAGAAAACACGATCCTCGAATACCGCGAGAAAGGCGCGAGCAGGACAAGAGACTTGCCAAAACCCTTTTCGTCGTGACATTGACCTCTGTTGTAACCTGGATGCCATTTGCTTTGATGCCCGTTCCACTGCAAGAAATTCATGAAATTTGCAACATGCACATCAGGGCTTACTTTGCTGGAAGGTTTTTTCTGTTGGCAAATTCATTTCTCGATCCAGTTGTTTATTGTTTCCGCATTTCAGAATTCAAGAAGATTCTTAGAAGAATGTTCAGTTGTAGCAGGGTGGGGTAAACTCAAATTGACTCGAAAAGTATTTGTATAGTTATGGAGCTGCCGCGATTTGTCTAAAAACGCCTTATTGTGCTTTTTTTTTCCGCATAGTACTGAGATATAATTGTGTTTAGACGGTTTTCACTAACTTCCAAATTATTTCTATTCGCTTATAATAGTTTTTTATAATAGTTCATCATCTTAAAGGAAAAAAATTAAATTAAATTCACCTCAATAGTAGCCTTTTTCTACCGGTGACTTCGTGCTTTTATGTTTGTAATTTTAATCTGGAAAACGGTTGTTTTTGTCAAAGTTTCTCGATTTTTCTTAACTACGACAACTCTTGCCTGAAGCTTCCGCAAAACAAACAATGTGGTAAAATTACGGTCAAAGAGTTATAATTTAGCGTCTGCAACCTTGAACTTTACAGCACAATTCTTCGATATGTTATCATAGCTTACAATGAACCTGTCAAATTTAGTGTTTTACGTCGAGAGTAATTTCAGCTTCCTAATTTAAGTCCGGAAATGTCAAAAAAAGGTTATTAAAAAAATCCATACTCTTCGTTTCTATGAAGCGAGTAGTTTTAATTAATTACGCCATACATGAATCCCACATTCTCGCTTTTGCAACTCTTCACGTTACAATATGCATTTGATGGATGCGCAATCAATATGATTACTGATGACAATAGGTCCCAGTACAGAAAAGGTGAAATTAATATTATTCATGAAGTTTCCATTGAAACTATATTTATTAAACGCGGAAGAAAGTTGAAACAAAACAAACAAACAAGACAAATTTTCGTCAAAATGAAAAGAAAGGTAAACGATGATTTATTTTGGTCGAAAACTTTAATGAGAACATCAACTGTGTTCTTATATTGGTATACTTTATGTTCATTTCGATAGGATATTCTATGGATGAACAAAACCGTTAAAAAAAATGGAACCAGAAAAGTGAATCTATTCTGAAAAGAAAGAACACTTACTTAAAAATGTGCATTTCTAGCGAGTTCTTTGCGTGGACAGCTCTCTTCATAACAGTGACCATTGCTATCATCGGAGGAAATATCATCACCATTATTGTCTTCTGGAAATTGAGATCCGTTCTAAAAAGAACTTATTACCTTTTGATAAACCTTGCGATCGCCGATTTAATTGTTGGTTTTGGAGGGGCTGTATTCACAAGTACGAGCATTTTGAAGCTTAACAGTACAGAAGAAAGTCCAGCGTCTACAATTGCTAGGTTCTTACGAATGGATGTTTTCTCTGGTACCGCGTCTTTGACGACTTTGTTATTTATCGCCGGAGAAAGATTTTTGGCAATTGCTTTCCCTTTTCTTCACAAGGTAATCACAACACGTTTCTACATGAAGTGCATCGCTGTGGTGTGGATTACTTCTTTTCTTATGACCGGAATCATTTTCTCGTCAGGCATATTTCCTACTTCTTTTTGCCGCACCATTTCCCGAGGAATCCTCGGTTACTTTACGATCGTCTGCTTGATCGCCATAAGCGCTTTATACACCGCGATATGGGTGGTCTTCAGAAAGGTGAATGTTCGAATACCTCGAAATAGACGAGATCAGAACAAGAGACTTGCTAAAACCTTGGCTATTGTGACACTTACATCTCTCATTGGTTGGATTCCCCTTTCAGTACACACCGTCACTCCTTTCTCTAAAATAGATGGAAACTGCTTCTTATCCGGACCACGTATCATTGCACCTTTCCTTCAAATGGCAAACTCTGTTATCAATCCATTAGTGTATTGTTATCGCATGTCTGAATTTCGCGCAGTTCTTAAACAAAACTTTCCAACGTGCAGAAACTCCATCGGAAGATTCCGAGGCAGCTATGAATGTACCTAATCCTTAACTCAAGAAATGTCACTGAACTTGCGTTCACCTAAGAGCGGATTTTTTTTGTTCAGACCACAACTGGTCTCCACAAACAGTTTTACTTACTTCATATGCATATATTTATGTATCTTTAAGAATCTATAGTAACCTTAAGAAATGTCTCTAAAACTTACCCACTCCTCAATTTAGCGAGAGAAAAACTTTTCCGAACTCTCTTTAATAGACTGTAAGATGATTGACATAGTCAATACAGAGTTTTCATAATTTTAAGATTAACTTTCTTTTGGCAGCCGAAGCTATCGCTGCACCATCAAAAGCTTCTTTTAGTTTTAAAGAACGGTAAGAAGTGTTCATCAGCTTAAGGTAGAGGAAGTGCTTATTTGATATGTATCTGCAGATGCACGGCAGAAGTTTTTCCAAGAGAAATTTTTTTAATTCTCTTGTTTTTCTTTTAAATGTAATTTGAAATATAATTTACGAACCATTCAGAGTTGCAACAAAAGTAGGTATGATGGGGAATGGCTTCGTTCTCCTCCGGACTCTCCTCCTGAACTCGCCACTGCGACGAAGTGAAAACTTCATTTTTACGAAAACGTCTGACTGTTCAAGTAATATATATTTAAATTGCGCAAAGACAATAGAGGCTGAGATCCCTCCTCGGAGCTTATAGCGTTTCTTAAATCTAGATTTAAGGGCAGACGTAGTGTGCTGATATTACCTTCAACTCATAGCATAGAGTCATACCACTTCTACAGAGATGAATTATCACAACTGATTTAAATATTTTGAAAATTCAGGCAGGCAAAAGTTTCATTTTAAAAGTCTGAGGTGGATTTATAGGTTTAGCTGCCCAGGTTTATTGATGTAATTTATTGTTGTGCCCAGATGCCACCTACTGGTTCACGAGAACTGCTTGGTCAGTTTGGCTATGAAGTTCGGGTTGCATGACACAAATTGCGTCTTCAGCCAAGAGCAATTATGAACGGTTCGTTTGTTTTGTCTATCGTGTGATAACTCTGAGTTATTTTCTGATTTTCTTAGAAATTTTTAGATTAAACAAAATCCTCAAACACCCTAAGATGACCAGTTGTAGTAGTGGCTGATCTTGGTTTAAGGGCTTCTGCAGTTGATTACCATCACTGAAGGCTAGCCCAGATAACTTATTTACCAATAGAATGTTACCTCATTGATATGAAAGAACAACATCTGTTATCATCTGTTAACAAGAAGTGGTTTGAATATATATCGAGACGGGTTCAAGTTAAATATATTATCAAAATGTATCCCATAGTGTTTTTTCCGGGCTCAGATGAATGCAGAAAATGCCCTGTATTCCTGCTGGGTCTTCGTTCTCATTTACAGCCTTCTGCTGCTTGAAAAAATCTTCCCAGTGTGCTCACGGAAAATATAATCGGATCTTTCGTTTCTTCTTGGTATCGATAAAGTGCATGAAAAAAGTCTCTGATAAAGAAAAAAAAGTCGATAGTTGGACAACCTGTCATTCTTGAAACCTATTCTATTTATTTGTTTTTGATTGTGCAGTTTTACCAATGGAGAAGTCAAATATCGAGTTTGTTGAAATTACCTAATGGTAAGCTGAAAACTGTTTGACTCTATTAAAAAATAACATCCTTCATCAATTTTGGATAGTTTATTTTGAATAACAAAGATAAAAGGAAAGTTCAATTAAAATAACAGGTTGGTTCTCACTGGTGACTCGACTCATATTCATTCTGAATGCAGCTGTTTCGAATATATTATGTTAGATATTTGTTGTGAGGTGTGGCACTGAAATCACAATCAAACAGAATTTGCGCAGATACGAGGTTGAATGCTTGTTTCAAGGACCTTTTATCCATATGATAACATATGCACCCCAAATACTATTCCATATATACAAAGCTAAAGCCTAATCTTGTTCTACAGAGGAAAAGGTTTACATTTTCTTTTACCATCAGTATCAATTTTAACCGGAATAACAATCACATTCCAGCAATTATTCTGTTTAACTAAGCACTACTCACTGGTCGCACGATCTTCATGCATTTAAATTCCAAAAGAACGGAACGTGCTCAAACACGGCTACACTAACATGGATATCAGCATTAACACTAGAAGCATTTGCGGAAGCAAATTGGAAGCAATATGACTCTTAATGGGAGCCCACAGATAGAATGAGAAAAGGTAAGGTAGTAGCCATTCAACACGTTTTTCATAGATCAGTCTATTTGATATCTTGACGACCGGAGCTTGATCATTGCCCTTTGCGTTTTAAGGGAACTTGGGAGAACACAATCTTAAGAAATCTAAAGTTTGCAACTGCTCCAGTCTCCGAACACAAGATGAAGTCCGGAGAGAAAGTTATTCGTTTCTATCTCAGAATATTCCTTTCATAAATACCATTTCCAAGTATGAAATTGCAACAGGTATCACGGACTGAAACAGGTTCGTACCATGCCAAACTTTGTATGTATTTATCACTTTTAAAAATGATGACTTTCTTGAACGAAGAGTCAGTACTTTCGTCCTGAGAGGAATCTTTTCCAACTTTATTTTGCTCTACGGGTTATCTTAATTCAAGCAGAGACAGTTATATATACAAGAGTGTAATGATTTGATGCCAACCTGTCTAGTTTAGTATTCATATTATATTCGTTGTTACTATATACGCTATAGTTTACTTCATCTTTTTTCCATTCTAATTAGAATCATTACGTCTCACCGTTAAAGGCGGTGAAAAAAGAAAAATTAATATATTTACCCAAAAAAATGGTTTCCCTTTAAGATCGCATTCCTATGTTCTTTTTTTAGAGAATTTCCTGCAATTTTTTAAAATTTACAAAAGAGTAGATATTTGAAGTAAAGAAATGCATATGTCAATTAAATGTAAAGAAAATGTTGAATATCAAGTATTAGATTTTTTCTTTAAATTTTAATGAGAAGGTAAATTAAAATGTGTGTTAATGTTTAAGTACATCACTAATACTTGAAAGACTTTTTTTTTCAACCTTCGTTTCGTATCGTGAAAGTGGGATGTGAGGCACCGACAGAGATAGCACCTTGATGAGAATGCTATCTAATTTTGTGAAAAATGATGCCTGAGGCTAAATCGGAGTAGTCCCTGGAGCGCTTTCCATTTACATGGCGAAGCCGAAAAGCATTTTGTATGAGAAGGAAACCGGTAATTACAAGTAGAAGACGTAGGAGACTTGGCTGTGCTCTATTCCATTGTAATACACTAATCAATATCACATATCTGATCATAAATAGTGGAGAAAAGCTTCTCCTCCTACACATCCCCTATACTTTTTCCTCTTTTTTTCCCATTTAAAATATAATTTTTACACAGTCAGACTCTCTGTAGCATTTTAAAGCGTGACATTAAGAGGCTTACTTTTGTTTCGCGTTTCGGCCGAATGTCATTCCACCATGATAATTTGTTTTTGCCTGTCAAAATTCATTTGTAGTCGCTTTCGCTCGAATTAAAAAATGTCGTTCAAAATTTGTCAAAATTCATAGAAGTCGAAGAAGTAATTTAAAAGATTCAAATGTCAACAGGAGCTTTTTTGAATGAAAATTCGCCATTGGTATTTTCAACAAGAACTTTCTCCATCATTTATGATGAACAACGAATTCTGAGGTTGTGTGTACTTAAGACAGATGAAATAGCACGTAAATAAAGAAATTTTATCAGTTATGAATTTGCGCCAATATGAATACAAACAAAGGAAGCTTTAGTTAAACTTTAAGTGCATGGGTTCCTAATTAAACCCGAAAGCAATCGAAATGAGATTCATTTCAACCGCGAGGACTACTTAGTATCCTAAAACTTGCAGAGCGAAATAGCATATCAGCTCGGCTTAGAGGTCGCAATTGGAAGAATACATTGCACCGCTACCCTATTGAATGCTTTTGGATTTGCAAGTTGCAAGAGAAAGAATTTTCAATGAACGAAAAGTTTCAAAACAGTTCTCAATACATCTTATTATGGATAATATTATATGGAGTGGAAACCTTTGCAATCTTTTTGGGAAACTCTTTTGCGATCGTCGTGTCCTGGAAAAGAAGATTTCACTCGAGGAAAACCTCTGTTGTCCTGATAAACCTGTCTGTTGCTAACTTGATGGTAGGTGTCAGTGCCGTAGAGGATATTATCAGTTACATTTGTTTGCTTTCGAAGGCAAGTTGTGGAAAAGATTGGACGGCAAAATATTTCATTCTGGGAGAATTTTCCGGCTGTGCTTCTATTAGTTTCGTTGTCCTCGTTTCTTTGGAGCGGCTCTATGCAATAGTGTGGCCATTTCTAAGTAGAACCACATCCTCGCGAACATATATGATAGCTGTTGGAATTGTATGGCTTCTATCAGGAGCAGCACCTGCCTTGGCGTTGTTGAGCAAATCAAGTGAAATTTTGCCAGTTGAAGTCTATGAGTGGTTCGGATCTGTAATCATGATTGCTTGCCTGCTAACAGTTTCGTGTGCATACGCTCTTATTTGGTCTTATTACAAAAGGAAGGATCCAAGGCTGTCTCAAAATAATCACAAGCGCAACAAAAATTTGGCAAAAACTCTTTTCATTGTAACTGTTCTTTCTCTAATAACTTGGTTACCTTTTGCTGTCGTTTTCAACTTCAGCTCTATCATAGAAAGCAGCAGTGTAATAAACCGAGTTACTCGATGTCTCCAGTTAGGAAATTCGTTCATCAATCCAATTGTTTATTCCTTGAGAATGCCAGTTTTTAGGCAGATCGTGAAAAATATGTTTCTATAAGCAAAAACAACACGATTAAATGTGCACCAGCGTAAGACCTGCCCTCGAACGGACGCCATCGTTTTAGCCGCTTTCTCCAACTTAAATAATACTTTCAAGTGAACCTTGAGCGTAAACAAATATCTTCTCAAAACTGAAAAAAACTAATTTCTTTGAAATTAAAAAATCTCAGTATAGATTCGAAAGACTTCTCAGTCATGGTTTGGGAGTTTTCTAAGTTAGTCCGAGTTGTATCTTTTGTGATCTTTCTATTGAAAAGGTTAGAATCCGCTCGGATCAAAAAATTACGGAAAAGAAACAGACATCACGCAAAAACTTTAAAGTGGTTTGAATATCCTCTCTGTTATTTGAAGGGAAAATTCAAGGACGAAATTTTTTTAAAGATATGAATATGTGATGTAAAGATGTGAATATATGAAAAGTGCTTTCGTTTCTGTGATAAAGACACCTTCTGATTGTTCTCCTTCATTTGAAATTCGATTGATATGCCAACTGACTGTATTCAAGAATGACAATGATTTGTTTTGTCTGTCACGATTTATACGCCCCATTTATACTTTTTGCCAGCTTTTGATTGGTAACTGCCATGGAAAATGAACTGAATATGATGTGAAGTAGAATAAATATAAGGCAAGCAGTGTTTCAAAGCATCAGCGAAAATTAACTTTTTTTCTCAGGACATATTAAAATCACAGAAGTTAGGACTCTGTTTCGACCTCCAATTCATTTTCTGCTTCACAGGAAGGGGTTTTTGTCGCAGACCATACAGTAGCATATTCATAAGAAAGTTTTATCACCCCGGCCTACACCTATCTGCTTGGGAAAGTACAGCTGTAAATGAGAAAAAATTAAGTAGTTCCTGGGGGGGTTTGCCTGCTGGAAACCTTTCACTTTTCCACAGGGTCGAAGTCTCTCTCCGTCTGTTTTACGCTTCAATGTCAATAAAGTACCACCATGTTAAAAAGCTGTTCTATGTTCCCTTGCAAATACTAAGGAGTTGATAACCACTTTTAATCAGATCTGCATCGATCAAAACGAATAAAAAATTGTAAGATACTCGTGCAGAAATACCCCGTGACTGAAAATCGAGTAAAGCCAGCGCACTAATCAAGCAGCCAAAACTTGGCTGTCAGAATTTGATTCCAGCAGAGCTAATGACTTCATTTGCGATTGTTTGTCAAGTTTTATTATATATTTGCCTTGGTTAGAAAAATTACTTTTATTGAAAGACCTGTCAAAGCGACCTTGGAAAGCAATTGAATTAAGAAAATGGGAATAGAAAACCGAGGGCGAATCACTTATGTTCCGGTTGCTTCAAATTGAGCGTAACATTTTATAAGACATTGGCATAAATGGAGGTGAAATGCAGAACAATCAGTGTGAAGCACAAAGATGTTCGGTGCCGACTAGTTGAATAATCAGTTCGCAATTCTGTGTAGCTAATGTAAAAGCCACCTTGGAAAAATAATACATGAAAAAAGTCAACTTGAAATGACTTAATAATAAACTTTGGCCGCCGCGCGGCTAACAGTAGCAGAAGAGAGATGAATAGTGTTGTCGTTTCTTGAAGTAGTGTGGGACTCTATTTGAATAATTTTAATTAAAACCTAGTAGAAATTTAAATTGCTTTGAATTTGATCAGATGTAAATATACTCTTGAAAGAAAACAACCGTTGCTAAATAGCATGTATGTTTGTTTCTAAAAAGAGTGAGCGGAAATAAAATTAGCACTGCGAAAAGCCCTTTTTCCGTTTGCGCGGTATACAGGGAAAAACTGAGATAGTTGGGATATTCAGCTAGGGTGAAGTTAAAGTAATGTTACTTAGTTTTCGGGCTGAAAAGATGAAAAGATAAAGCTTCAAATGGGCGAAAGGTGCGAAGGTGCTGAGCCAAAAAACGTACTTCCATGGATAATAATATTATGTTTGGAAGCCCTGATTATACTCTTTGGAAATATCATCACCATAATCGTGTTCCTGAAAGGGAGATTTCACTTGAGGAAAACTTCTGTTGTCTTGATAAACCTGTCTGTTGCTGATTTTCTGGTTGGTCTAGGTGCTCTTGGGGACATCGCGAGTCACATTTGTTCGCTTTCTTCATCGTGTTGCAAGACACATATTACTTTGATAGAGAGGTATTTCCCTCTTGGAGAGTACTCTAGCACTGCATCCATTAGTTTCCTTGTCCTCATTTCTTTGGAGAGGCTCTATGCGATAGTTTGGCCTTTTCGCAGCCGAGTCACATCGACACGAACATACATATGTGTTGTTTTAGGAGTTTGGCTTTTATCTGGAATAGCTCCTGCCTTTGCCTTGTTAAGTAGTCAACATAAAATTCGTCCAGTCCCAATCGAAGTTTACTTGTGGATTGGATCGCTCTATATGTATGTTTGCCTGATAGCCATCGTGGTTGCGTATTCTATTATTTGGTTCTTTTCTACAAAAAGAGATCCAAGACTTTCAGAGAGTAGCCAGATACGCAACAAACATCTTTCAAAGACAATCTTTATTGTAACTTCTCTTTCACTGATAACTTGGCTGCCTTTCGCTATTGTGTTCAACTCGAGTTTTATCATAAGTGGTAAGAGCACAATTTTACATAGATTCATTCGTTGTCTTCAGCTAGCAAATTCTTTCATCAACCCGATTGTTTATTGGTTTAGAATGCCGATTTTTGGAGCAACGCTAAAGGCTACACTCCTTACAATAAGAACACGATTAAGCTTCAGGAAACGCAAGACTGGTACACAAGCGGATGCTGTAGTATTAGCCTCTTTTTCTAACATAGATGTATGTCCCAATAAAATCACACCCCTTGATTAACTGCAAAAGAAATGGGCCGAAAATATTTATTATTTATAATTCTTAAAAATAAACTATAGTACGAACTAGCTGCGAAAAAAGGCAAAAAATTAAAGAATATGAATCAAATAAAATTAAATTAAGCTTTATTAACTTATTGCAACACCTGAGGCGAAAGTGAACAAATACAATCACACTTTTGAAATCCAGAATCTATATTATTATTAGCTTCCACCTAAAGCGGGAACAACTTTGTTTCGTTTACGCAGAGCTAAATAAGATAAAGTGAAACAGCAAAACCCGTAGTAGCCTCAACAGTAGTTTAATGTCTAAATGATTTTTACATGTTAACGTAAGGAGTAGCTTCGGACGAAGACACGTCGCCCATTTATGGAGCCTTACAGGGTTGACATGAAAGTGTAAGCAGAGAAATTTTTAAAATGTAAGTCTGCCAAAGCGGAACACAGCTGTCAACCTGGCCAATATGAGAGTTAATATTTAATATTTTCGTTTCTATAATCAAGTCCTTACCCTAATGTTCATTTTCCTTTGGGTTTTAATTTGCTAACTTGGCTGGTTTAAGACAGGTAATTCATCTTTTCGCCAGCTATTGATTCATGGCTAATTTTCTTCATAGAATTAAAATAAATATAAAGAATATTAAAAATAAGTTAGTTTTTTGCACAACACAGTCCAAATGGGCTTCGCATTCCCTTTTCTTGGCATTTTAAGTTTACTTGACAGTAGCCAGCAAGATGCCTTTATGATCTAATACGCGAGAATTTATGATAATAAAAAGCTAAATATAGACCTGACAGCAGGTGATTTAGCTCTAAATATACACCAAAATATATATATAAATTAAACTAAAAAAATAAAAAAAAAATAAGAGCAAATTAATGTTTCATGTAAGTTCTGGCAAAGTAAAGTCAGGTTCATTTTTCGTTGAAAGCTCTTTTGCGGCACTCAATTCGTTTTCTTTATCATAGCTGAGCGATTGCCACTGAAAAAGCACAATATCAATAATCACCCTTGCAAATACTTTTGCTCCGTATGTTTGCTGGTAAACGTAAAGCTGTAGACGATGCCCTGAGAAAAATTCAGGTGGAGAAGTTCTCCATTTTTGTACGGAACCTAACAATGACAGGAACATAAATGAAGTCAAGCAAGTCATTTTGCATAGAGTTCACTTTTCCTTTTTCCTTTTTGGTGTTGCCTAGCTAAAAAAGGGAAACAAAAAAATGAAAAAAAAATCTACACTTAATAGAGAAACTAACAGGAAATTAGTGAAAAAATAAGTATTCTATAATTATCTAACTAGAACAATAACTAGAACAGAGTATGGTCGAATGTTGTTGAGCACCTTCCAATTTTCCTATGATGACTCTTTTTCGTCTTGAGAATTTACTTCCAGTGCGACAAATAGGTTCATTTTTTGCTTTTTGCTGAATTTCATAACTGTGTGGTTGCTTTCGCTCAATCGAAGATGTTAATTCACAATCTGTCACAGCGACCTCAGAAAAGTAATTAAACCAAAACACAACGGGAATTGGCTTTCTTTATGTACTCCGTCACCAAGAATAGAGTATTCATGAGGGATGACTAGTGCTAAGTTGAGGAAGTGCGAAACACTCGATGAAAAATTGGCTTTAGAAAATGACCATAGAAAACGGACAACTACCGTTAAACTCAAATTGGAGTAGGTAATTCACAATTGATTAATTAATTCGAAAATTCTGCCAAAGAAAATAATTAATCAGGCCAAAAAAGCATGTAGGAATGACTTACCATTGGGTGAACTTCTGCAACAGTAGAAAAATCTTATGACTGAAACGAATAACGAGTTATCAGGTTGCTTGAAATAGGGCGTACCACTTGACTGAAAATTGAATATGGTTGTCGAACAAATCTAAATATTGTTTGCAAATTACAGATGTTTTTTCTCGAATGTATATAAAACTAGGAAACAAACAAAAGAATGTGCGCTTTTGTCAAAATTTAATCAAGGCAATACTCATTTTGGCTACGGGAAATCAATCGTTTTTATGTGTGAGGCGTAAAGTTAAATTCGACCAGGGAATAGGCGAGAAAACTGAAACTTTCAGCCAAAAAAAACGATTTAAATGAAGGAAATGTGTGAAGGAAATTTTAAAAACACACCTTTCTAGATAATCATATTTAGTGTGGAAGCCTTCCTAATACTTTTTGCCAATACTGTCACCATTATCGTGTTCTGGAAAAGGAGATTTCAGTTGAGGAAAACTTCAGTTGTCTTGATAAACCTGTCTGTCGCGGATTTACTGGTTGGTGTTGGTGCTATTGAAGAGTTTATGGGCTTTATTTGTTCGCTTTCTTGGTTCAAAACATACTTGATTCTCCGAGAGTACTCTTCCTGTGCTTCTATTAATTCCCTTGTCCTCGTTTCTTTGGAGCGGGTCTATGCGATAGTGTGGCCTTTTCGTAGCCGAACCACATCGACAAGAACATACATATATGCTGTTGGGGTAGTATGGCTTATATCCGGAATAGCACCAACCTTTTCGTCGTTGAGCGTTTTAAGTGAACATCTGCCACTTAAAGTTTATTTATGGCTTGGATCGCTTTACCTGGGTGCTTGCCTGATAACAATCGTCGTTGCATATTCTGTTATTTGGTTCTTTTCCAAAAAGCAAGATCCAAAACTTTCAGGAATAACCACAGACGCAACAAGCAATTGGCCAAAACCTTATTTGTTGTGACTTTATTTTCTCTGATAACTTGGCTGCCGTTTGTCGTTGTGTTTAACGCACGTACTATTATACCAAACAACGGTGTGATTTCCCCAATTTATCGATGTCTTCAGCTGGCAAATTCTTTCTTCAACCCAATTATTTACTGCTTTAGAATGCCGATCTTCAGAGAAACGCTTAGGGCTTCGTTCCTAATAAAGAAGAAAAAAAAAAAAGAATTTGTGTGAGGGGACACAAGGCTTGCTCACAAGCAGATCCCGTTTTTTTAGCCACTTCCTCCTTCTTAAACGTATTTCCCAGTAATATCAGTCCCTGCGGTTCAATTCCAACAGACTGAATGGACAAAAAGGTTACTTTAAGTAAGTTAGCAGGAAAAGAAAATGAAATCCCTTCATGCTTGGCATCCATTCTATCAAATTAATGAATTCGAATTCATCGTGGTTCTATGACTCTTATCTCTCTGGCCATTTTTTCCTGTTTTCTCTGTTGGAGTGCGAATGACCTGAGTTTCACCTTTTTCTTGACGTTCCAGGCGGGTTTATCGAACTAAGTCACATGTGTAAAATAATTTTACGACTGGAAACTGCTTAATACCCCTATAGTCGCTGAGAAATATGGCAAATAAGATATAAATTATAAAGGATTTCGCAATGCAAATGGATAAATATGATTAATAAAATAAAAAGTTGTTAAGCTAATTTTGTTATGGTTGCCATTTTTACAATGGCAAATAGAAAGTTATATTTTGCACGATTTTCAACATTCGTCTCCTTTTTCATCATGATAATAAGTGAAATTGTTGCAACAAATTGACATTTAACCGAGAGGAACTTAAAAAGAAATCAGCTTTATTTTCTTCTGTTTCAAAGCCTTAGTTGAGCTTTGAGATAATGACTAAAACGGAGGAAGACATATTTTTTGTGCTGCTTTTGTCAACCCACTTTCACTTCTATCGTGCTATCAACGCTTCATATCTGCTTTCAAAACAGAAAAGAACACAGTCAAACCTCGCACGACCAAACCACTAGACGCTTACAAAAACCTTTTAACAGCGAAGAGAATTCAGCTCTTTTCCTGAACAGTGACCATGTTTCATTTCATCGAAGCTGACGCATGTTTTAAATTCTTCCCACCTGTCAAAGTTGTATTAGCAGTTAGGCTTTCGGACAATCGATAATTGTCTTTTACAACTCGCATACCCCTGACGAGCTTACATTTAAGTATTGATAGTAATAATAAAAAAAAAAGTCCATGGCCTTTTTTCGCTCTGAGGAGGGGCTAACGCTCGATAAGCAAGCTTAGAAGCTCTTTACGGTGGCCAATTTTCATATCAACTCAGTTGATAAAACAAAATAATCTTGGTATACTCCTTCACAGACGCAGCACCCCAGTTTCTTTAGAAATTTACCCCCTTCATTCATTTGGCGAAAATAATAGATTGCTTTTGGGACTATGGCTTTGTTCAAGAATAATATGAGGTTATGTGGGATTCTGTGAAAAGCGATCATACTTATCAAAACGTCAGAGATAACACTGTAGGTATAATGCAGGGACAGGAAAAGTATTTAAGCAGTGAGAACAATGATCATTGGCCCCAATTTTGTAAGGTCGCTCAAAAGAGACTGAATTGTTAGCTTGACAGCGTTCTCCGATCATCTCAGCACTTATGCGACGAGTGATCTGTTGAAAGCTTGCTCTTACATATTGTTATTTACTTTTTGGAAGTGGAAAACGACAGTAGATGCAATTGAGGTTCCTTTTTTCTTTACAGGTGAAACAATCCCCTAGCAAACGTATACTCAAGTGCTCTTCGTTTTAAATTCAGCTCAGTAACTCTAATTTTCAAATGAATTGCACTGAAGTAAAAACTTAGGGCTCCGGCTCTTTTAAACTAAAAAGCGCACCCACAGTAAACGAAGCCCTCGTCTTTTAGCCGCAAACCAAAAACTGAATTTTAGTTGGCGACTGACAGCTGTTCTCTTGCTCGTCAATTAGTTCGCTTAAACAATTTTTTTCGCGAATCGCGACTAGCCGACGTGTACCTGAATCTCCTTCATAAGAGTTATGCTGACCTGGCTATTTCGTTCGTTTTGAAAATAAAAGTAGATGCGTTGGGCAATAACATCTTCTTTACCTTAGAATAACTTCAAAAGCAGCTCGACTTTGCTTTTTTTCTGTTGTAAGGCACTCGATCATGGGGTAGAGTATTCTGCGGTTTTATAAAAACACCATACTCTTTTTTCTTGCCAAAACCGTTTCCGAAGCGCTTTACAACAAAGCACTCAGGACTTTTTAAGTTGTTGAAACATGATGGCAGACGCGACACTTTTAAACAAACTTTCCTACATTTTTTCAATCGAAGTTTTTAGCAATGACAATGTACCAGCATAAATTATAGCACTGAATATTTTTGACCATGCATGATTATTCGAAAGATTAGTTTTGGAGGTTTGCCGACTATCGCTTGGCAGCTTAAAAAGGATCAATGACAGCTGCCATGACAGATGTAAGATGAGTTCTAAAATTTTAAAATTTATGACAAGAGAGAAAGATGCAAATACAAAGCTTTCGTCAATAATGCATCAGTCTTAAGTCACTAAACACCTATATTTTACCTACTCCACTTTCTTCCTTGCACATTTATCCAGTTCAACTCACAGGAAACCGTCCAGTTATCGACTATCGTTACCATAATTGATCGGTTTTTTTCGCCGGAGAGGACAGTAATATAACGTAAGCAACGACATAGTGCGCTGCGAATTAACATGAGTTCCCTGAGGTGAGTAAATCGGATGAATACCATTTCATCTTTTAGCACAAGAGCTTCTATGATGACGAGATCGGTCCTCTCTAGCGTGCATCTTATGCTTTTTGGAAAGATAATCTACATACATGTTCTCTCATGTTTAAGAAGAATGCGGCCGCGATCAAACATTTTTCCTTGTAAATTTAATGCGCCGTAAGGAAAAAGCAGGTGGCAGGCAAAAAAATTGAAGGTTTAAAACTCGCATTAGTGAGAGGAGAAAACTGTTTTGACCATTTCAAGTTTGATCTGCGTTAACAAAGTCTCTATGTATATGTGTTAGTTTTCTAAGGTAACATTTGCCAATGTGGAAAATATTGTTCCAATCACCATCAGCTACTTAAAACACTTTCCCCTCCTTTTAGGTAAAATCGCGATGTTTGATGATTGTTTGCCGAGGGCGAAGTAGAGTTTGCCGGATAATCTGAACGCTGTCGCGAGGATATTTTAGCTTTAGGACATTAACATTCATTACGCAGAAAATCATAAGGGAAACTGCATTTGTTTTTGATGCTCTGTTCCTCGTTTCTTCTGCGCTAAGAGACATTGCCAGCTGAGGGCTCCAATTCGCATTGAGGTTTCTCGTTCAAGCGAAAGTGTACACAGTATCCCTTAACACTGTGGCTGGACGTTTTATTCAAGGCAAAACCGCCTATTTTTGATTATTTTCGCAGGGTGATTTCTGACACAGAAAGTCCTGAGATGAAGAATATAAGCAGCAATTTACCTCCAACCTGGGAAATGTGGATTTGGAGCACGTCATTTCTGATGGGAAGCTTAGCCACTTTAGTAGCAAATCTGATCACGTTTCAAGTCTTCTGGAATCAAAGAAGAAATTTAAGGCAGACTAGCTTTGTATTAGTCAACTTGGCCTTGGCTGACCTCAGCGTGGGTTTGTCAGAGGGATGTTTTGCTGTGGAGAACTTGCTGTCAAGTTACATGGGAAAAAAGCCCACTGAAATAGGATGTTTAGCTGTTGACGTTTTCTCAGAAGGCGCTTCTTTGACCTTCCTGGGTCTTATGTCGCTAGAGAGAATGCATGCTGTGTTTTGGCCTCTCCGACATCGCATGACCAGACCTCGCAGTTATATTTATGCTATCTGTACATTATGGTTCTTTACCACCATGACGACCGTCCTGTTCATTTTATCTTACGTAGGACTTGTTAACCAGATAATAACGATTGGTCTATTTGTGTTTATAATGGCTGTTATTCCCATTAGCATCTGTGTTGTTTACTCAAGAATCTGGCTTCATTTGCGACACATAAAGAAGCAAAGCTTAAGAAAACACCGCAGCCCGAAAACAAACAAGCTGACCAAGACTTTGTTGATTGCTTCTTTTCTTTCATTGGCTGCATGGCTTCCTTTAGGCGTTGCGTTACTGGTTAAGTTCCTTTGTGTCGGCTGCTTGTCGTCAGTGAATGTGACTCGATTGGTTTACGGAGGGAGAATCCTTCAGTATGGCAACTCCCTTTTGAACCCAGTTGTTTATAGCTTACGGATCCCCGAGTTTAAAGACAAGATAATTCAGCTATTTTGTAAGCAGCGTCGCCGGAAATTACGACGAACTGCTCCAGAAACGGCATGCCAGGTGCACGCGTTAAGATCAGCAACTCCAGTGTTACTTTCGTTTACATCGTCAAACTCACCACTGCATCTAGAACGGTCAGGAGTAGAAACATGCTTCACGATGACAAGTAATTTATAATGGTACTGGGGTCGAGTGGAGCCCAATTGGGTCTGTGATCATACGAGTGATTGACAGACGGAATTGGACGACAGGAAGTCCTGTTACCAATTAATCATAACCATTTCAGTTTCCGAAAAAAACAAATACACTTAGAACAAATATCTCCCGTGGAGACAGTGTCTTGATATAAAAAAAATTCCTCAATTTTGGAAATTCCCCAGTTTTCCTTTGAATAAGTGGTTTCTGCCATGGTTATTGCGATCAATTGAGATTGGTGAATATAGCTAAGTGGATTTAGTATGATTGGCTGCTTCAACTGTTCGATTACAGGTATCCGATTACAGTCACTATCTGATTACACTGTTCACACTACACTGATTACATATTCACTTGAGTAAACCCCTCCGCTTAAAGTGTTATCGTTAAGAATGGCTCACAGTTCCTTACACAGTTAATTACATTTAGCTTGTTTAAAAACATTTTCCAGGTCCCCCCTCCCCCACCCCCTAATGAAAACCCACCACTTAAGCGATATTTCTTTTTCTTACAGCGTTTTTAGTTTTATTTGGTTGTTTTTTTCCTCAACTTAATTCCTTTTCCATATGTCTACCATAGTTCCGTCGGTCCATTACCAGTTTCTTTCAGTTTAGACTGGAACCGTTTTTCGTTGATGAGAAAATGAGATTTATTTTCCAAAGGATTGGCTAGAATACAATTGATTTTCAATCAACTATTTCGCATGAAAAGAAAAAAACCAAACAACCAAAAAAAGCATATGGCGCAAAAGTGGTTTTTTGCACGAACACTGAGAATTTTATATTTAAATATTCTCTGTTTTCCTTCTTCCCTTCTCTAATAACGGCCTAGGAACCAGCCTACGTGTATGATAAAAAGGAGAAAAGTCATTATACTCAAATTGCTAACATTGTAATGATTTGTGTCAGTTTGAGGTAACAAAAAATATAATTCGTTGGAGGATTACATAGCTGTTTAGCCTAGAAGAACAGGAATAACAAAGGTACTGGCTGGCGCGCATTGTGCTCTCAATGCACAAAAAGCAGAATTTCCATTGTAAGTAGATAGAGATACTCCCTTGTTGAGATATCAATGGAATGGGATGTTAAGGTTCGCGAGGTGATAAACTCTGAAGGAAAGTGTTCATAAGGGATTTTTAAAAGTTTGTTGTGTTCAGAGACAAAGGAAGGCTAATTCAGTACGGTAAAGTTGCTCCTGGCAACAGGACATACGGTAACCAATCAAACTGATCGCATGTGGTGACTGACTACATGCATAGTTTTTTTTTTTATCTCTGAAATAAAACGCTGATATTGCAGCCGATGTTATATATACTTGAAGTAAGGCAAACTTCAAAATATTTTGGAACTGTAGTCTAATCAATTACTTTGCTTTTTGAATTTAGAAGGTCTCACCACAGACATTGAAAGGCGAAAGACAAACAATTATTTCAAGATTGACCTTATTCATTTCGTTCCAATTTCGTTTAAGCTATGTTATTTCCCACAGAAGGGCATCTGTTTTTGTCATTTATTGTATTGTCCGATAATTTTTTTTTGGAAAATATAGTATTTATTTTCATGTCGAGTTTCAAGTATTGTGATACCACTAATTAAGGATATCTTTTATAACGATGAAGCTGAATGCAGAGGATGTAGCCCCCCAGGACGGAAATCCACGCGGCAAATAGCTTGAGTTATTCACCCACACTAAGGGCAATATTGCTGGTGTTTCTCCAAATAATTCAGGGTGTATTCAAGTCATTGCTAATCAAAGTACAGCGAAGAAACACCGCCTATCTGCTGATGTGTGAGTTCCCCGATATTGTGACAGTGACACTTACCATCAGACAAAGTAAGCCTTGAATTGACTTTAGCTATATTTGATTTGTCATGAGATTATTTGGCATAAAATTGGAAACTTGTTTTTTGCTGGCAAAAGATTTCGACGGTACTTCAAGACTTTAACACGAGTTTTGTATTGCAAACAAGAGAAAAGAAACGCAAATTCAAACTAAAATTCGCTTTACATCTTATCAATAATTGATCCTGATGTTTTATGCTTGTTTTCTTCAAAGTTCAATGTTCTCCGTTCAGCGTATAGTTGACCTTCAAGCTTGGGAGAAGAGGTTCTAAGAGCTCATTTGTCATAAAAACAAGCTATACACCGATGTGTTTTGTTATCGCGAGGAAATAATATTTTGTAAGAAACGCATACTCTCTTCCCAATATTATTTCTCAGTTCGGCACGACTCTTTATGATTAAATTAATTTTCCTGCATTATTTAGTTGAGAATTTTAGAGTGAATAAAAACTGAGGAACACTTCTATTCGAAGAGAGCAAAATGCAGGGTTGTAACTGATGACTATCGGAAATATAATGGAGGGCAAAAGATATCATATCGGTTAGGCATAACAACTTACGAATTATAGCGAAACATTTCTACAGCACATTTGAAATTGCGCTATATTGATAATTTTGAGTTAAACTAAAAAGGTGAACTATGGTAGGATTCCACGGCTCGTCTTTAGAATATATCAAATATTTAAAAGATTTGAGGTTTTCTTTACATTTGCCGTAAGTTTCAGGGCTCTCTTGGCATTTTTACTTCTATGAGATATTTTGTACGCACTAATGAAAAAATAAAACCTTAGGCGAGCTAAAAGGATTTTACCAGACAAAACAACGTACCATTTGGCTATGGAGATCATTCCATATCTCTTGACCGCAGCTCAGAATCAATGGCGTCATCCAGATGGACGCTGTAAGTAGTAATAATATATATATATATATATATATATGGATAAATAATTGCTTTTCGCGTATTCTTCGATTCTGTTTCGGCATAAGTGTACTTTAATGTCAAGCTGCTGAATATTCTATAAACTTGTGAACATCAGAAAATATGAACATGAGTAATTGATTTTCATGTAGTATAAGCCTTAAGTTCCATTTGCACTTGAACTAAGGCATAGATTTTGTAATTTCGATTGTTTTTGAAAGTAGAAATATAAAGAAATTCTTAAAACTTCTCATAGTGAGTAGAAAGTGCAAGCACTGTAGAGAGCGAGTTGTTCTTGTTGACTTTTTCTTAATAAAACAAGTCATATCTTACAGGTTTACATATCATAAATCTTCGAACTTTATTACTAATCAGAATAAGGGGAGACGAATTGAAGAAAGAAAGTCATGCTGTGTTTTAGCGTAATGAAAATTGAAATAAACACCGGTTTCAATATAATACACTTTAACAAGATTTATCAACATTTCGACTACCTGAAACAAAAAAAAAAACAAAACAAAACAAAATAAAACAAAACTAAACCAAACTAAACAAAGCAAAGGAAAACATCAGCAAAAAACAAATATCCGAATGAAAGAAAGTAAGAAAAGAAAAACACGTAGCATTTCAGCTTGATAAGAGTGAAAATAATGATAGGCAGGAGACCATGACAGGCACAATGGTAAGATGATGAAATCGAATACTTATTTAGGATAAATTAACACTTGACTCATAAAGAGCAAAAAAAATCAGACAAAAACAAGCAGCTCACTACGTTATATATAGAATACTGATTGATTTGCTTAGAATTTCCTTTCCGTTCCTCTATACTGCTGGCAGGGATCAAGTAAGATTTATGTCAAATACAAATTAAAAGCGAAGCGAAGCGACGCACAACTTTATAGAGTGACCTTGGAAATGCAAATTTCAAGTTAAATGAAAAATAATTTTGAGACAGATGTTTCAAAAAGGTGTAAGTTTCCTGCCCTTGTCCTTCCTACGATGACACTTATCATCGTGTCATACTCTTCACAGTTTGTACACACACATGCAGTTATTAAGAAACAATAGTTATTTGACATATTTCTTTTGTTTATCTTATGTCATTGAGGACACTTAACGAGCAACTGGCAGACGGTTTCTTTTTTGTTTTGTTTTCATTAGAACTACATTAAAGAACTTTGAATGTATTTGCTTCGTTGAATAATTTACGAGGAGAACTTTGGTGTTGCTAGGACACGGATATTACTCACCTCAATTTTCAGAGTCGAAGATAGCTCTTTTTACCTGAAATTTGCATTTCTATTAACGCTTTTCTAGCTTTCTGGTGTTTTTAATGGCAGTACTCTAACAACCCAAGTGTGCCAGATTGAATCTATTACAATTTAACCTCTAAACAATCTATAACGGTATTCTGCAGATCTCAAGCCGTTAGTGGAATGAATAACAGCAGCAAAAATGCCACACATACCTCAGAAACAGCAGAAATTACGAATATGGAATTTTCATCCTTTATTTTGTGGTGCTTTGCTTTCGGAGCAGTGGGCATTATTGTTATCATCGCAAATATCATTACAATACTGGTTTTTTTCTCAAGCAAATACCTCTTACGCAAACGACACAACCATTTCTTGATCCTATTGGCAATCTCTGATATAATAGTTGGGCTGGTTGTGATACCGTTGTACATTTATCAGCTGGTGTCTTGGTGGACCAACGAACACAGCGTGCTGAGAAATACCCTTTACGACATCTTCACATCAATGGACATCTTATGTGGATTTGCTTCCATCTTCACATTGGCAGTAATTGCTGCAGATCGAGTGTACGCTATTGTATTTCCGTTTTACCACAAAGTCCCTCCTAAAGGAGTTTATCCTTGCATGATAGCTACTGTTTGGGTTTTATCCGGCCTATTAGTAGTGTACTTCTTTTTGTTTCGGATAAATATTCTCCCCAGAGAAGCTTTCGTTTATCTGTTGTTAATTAGCATATCGCTCTCCCTTCTCGTTATTTGCACTTCTTATTTACTAGTGTGGGCTCGTGTGAGATGTTTCGCAATCACTCATGGTTTGAAGGGAGCTTCATTCAGAGAGAGACGCTTAGCAGAGCTGTTGTTTTTAATCACTGTTATTTTCATGTTTACCTGGTTACCTTTCCACATTGTGAATTTTATATTTCACTTTTGTGCAAATCCAAAATGTCAGCCTTCGACTAAACTTGTTTATTTCAGCAAACTTTTGCACTACAGTAATTCGTTTTTCAACCCCATAGTTTATTCTTACAGAAATATCGAGTTTCGACAATGTCTGAAACGGCTCGCGAAAAATGTAACGTCTCAGTCGAAACCTTTACTAGCAGAAAGGAAAGAACCAAATCTTAAAGGCGATCAGAGAAAAAGAAGGATGCTGCTAGAGAGGCAAGAAGCGTTTCGTCGCATTGTGATGCAAGAAAGCAGAGTTTAGAATATACGACGATTGCGTATATAGCTATGAAACGGTAAAATTACTTTCTAGTTATAAAATACATAGTCCACAAATGATGACGTGTAACTCCTTAGGTGAATAATTCTTATCGTATTCCTATCTTTTAAATAATGGAGTAAAAATAATCTCGATGGAATATCAAAGCAACAATAACAAAAAAATACATGAATCTATCTATTGGTTAGCTGTAAAAAAGAAATAAAACATACCCGCTAAACAAATGCGGGGGTGGAGCCAAAAAACAAAGAGATAACATTTAAAATTCGCATTTTATCTGACTGTTTACAGAATGCAAATAGCACTTTTGGGTAGAAAATCACCATATCTGTTTATGTATTGTAAAAATAGAGACTTTAACATCATCAGATGTAAAATTGACATGCACTAAACAAAGTTATGTCGGGCAAATCACAACAATTTGTCGAGAGAAAAGGCACATTTCTAGCTCGACCCAGCAGGTGTTTTCGCGCCAAAGGCAACAAATTTTTTTTCAACACCTTTCAACGTTTGTCTCCGTCAAACCTCTCTCGTGGCTCAAAAATTTCATTCTTCCTCAACTGACTCGATTGTTTCCTTTAAATTTTATTTCTTTTGTTTGTGATTAGAATTCTTGCTTTCTTTTTATTTCTTCTATTTCTAATCAAACAATTTTTTAGCATTCCAGTCAGGCTCTCCACACACGTTCTGAATCTTAACGGGAACGTTTGCAATGATATGCAAATTTCCTCAGCGATCCACTGCCGTTGGACGCTCTGAAAGTGGTGTTTGACAGCGGGAGCATGTCTTAAGTTAGAAGCTGAATGGAAGGATTTGAAAATTTTTATGTCATCACTCCCGCCCGCTACTTTTAGGAATCTTAAGACGGGGAAATTGTAATTTAACCAATGTTGTGATAATGTTCAAAATTCTATGCTATTTAGAGCACACCTCTGCTTTAAATATGATACAGCAATTAGTGGATGGTTGTTTGTTTAATTCTTTTATTTCAACCACAATAACTAATAGTAATTGAACTGGGTGAAGTGCACTTTGTATAGGTAATCACATAATTTCGAGTGCAATTTGGTATAATTAAGCACGAATAAGTTTTTTTAAAGGCTAACAAAACTGCACGAGCCTGCAGGGCCAGTGCAATTTGTGGTTTTGAAAAAATTACTGGTGCTTTTTTACTCTAAATTGCACGAGAAAAATCATGTGATTACTTATTAATAGTAAACATGAAAAAATACGAGATAGCTTATCATAATTACGCAGAAGCAAAGCGCACGAATCAAGTGCAAAATAATCTATTCAAATCCTGGAAGTGCGTTCGGCAAAAACAACCGCGTGCGATCAAAACAATAATATACAATGATGTTTTCACATCTTAAAGGTGCAAGAAAGTTTAAAGTCCTGCTAAACAGTTCAAGGAATTGTTCAGTCTGGTTTGTTACTTTTTTGCACTGAATTAACCCTCTTCTACATCGAATTACCCGAAAACTGTATTTATATTAACCAATCAGAACTGAGTATTTTTTTCATGTATCTTACTAGGTCTGAAATCATATGCGTGATTTGAAATCGCAAGTATTTTATCAGACCCAAACTGCATGATACAAAGTTCATTTACCACTTTATTACACCAATATTTAAATTGCAATATCAGTTGTTTAGACATGGGATTTTCTAGTCTGTTCAAATATTTTGTTGATCCAGTAGTGAGCTGGTTTGAAGAAGTTGCAAGAGCTTTTGTTGTATTTTTATTATTTTCGTGCAATTTGATTGGTATCTTGAAACAAGTGATTGGTTTCTGTATTTTAATAAAGCTTCCTCATTGGCTGGGGAAAAGACGCGATTTAGAGCAAAAAATTATACGATTCGTGAATAAAGCGCACAAATAAGAGCCAATCAGATTGCAAGGATCACCACTGATTTCAAAATCAATGTAATAAATCAATTAATTAAATTGATTTCACGGTAATTCATAATAACTATGATTGGTACCATTGGTAACCATTGGTACAAAGTTTTACTACTAAATCGGATGGTATAATGAACGTAATAGCCCTAAACACCACGATATTTAACAAAGCTGATGTGTTACCCTCTTTTTGAAATTTATCCTCTTTTCTTAGTCTTAGCACTCTTGATGTAGGCACATATAATTATACTTCAATGATAGCCTCTCGCAGCCCAAATGCTGTTTGTTGATAGCAAAGATGACCTCTGGAAGCTCAAAGTTATCTTCCTTGACTTTAACTTCACAGTTCTTCTGCACCTCCGATGTTATCCAGTGGTATTTCTTCAATTTTGGGCGTTTCCTCCACGACGACAAATGTCTCTTTGCACAACTTTCTACCAAGTGCTATTCTAAATTCAGGCATTTGAAACGAATAGATAATCGGATTTATGAATGAGTTAGCATAGTGCAGTAATTTGCAGAAAAACAAGGCATTGTGAGGCAGCTTGGTCGTTAAACAGAAATCGCAGAAAAAGTTAATTATGTTCAGGAGATGGAAAGGTAGCCACGTAAGAACAAAAGTCAAAGTGATGGTCAAAAGCATTCTTGCTACTTTTTTATCGCTCCCTGAAGCGCGGCCCTGAGAGGTAAAATAGAATTTAACCCTTATCCAAATGCCTAAATATGATGCACAAATGACGAGCAAGCATACGCTTAACGATGACATCATAACATAAAAGAATACGTCGAAGGAAATAGCATGAAACTTGTACAATAAGTGAAGTATGGTGATAGCGAAGGAAAGAATCCACACCATTCCAATCATTAACAGGCATTTCAGATCTGTCAGAACGTGGACTCGGTAAAGCGGTCTGCAAAATGCGTAAAGGCGCTCCAAGCCAATGGCTGTTAGTGTGAAAACAGACGCAAAACCTGAAGCTATGTCCACAGAAGTATATACGCTTTGATATGTGACGTTGTCAATGTGATGGCTTAGCAGAATTATGTACATGGGAACGGTTATTGCGCCGACAAGTAAGTCAGCAGCGGCCAAGTTGAGTAGGAAGTAGCTTGCACGCATCTGCATCAGCTTTTTACAACCACAGAAGGCGACTATTGTTAGGACGTTTCCTGACACGATGGCAAAAGCAATCAGGCTAAATGCTACACTCCATCCAATAGTTTGCGAAGACATCATCGTAAATGATATCGATAATCAAAACTGCAAAAGGGATGAGGAAAAAAATATTGTTAGAGGAAGTAAAGCTGTTAAGGCCAGTACAGTGGTAGATCATTCACTATTCTCTTGGGCTGCACTAATAGATTCTAGACCCTCGAGTCTTTCGCCCAATATAGTACTGGCCCTAGGCCGGGGAAGACTGGATAAAGGTGATAAGTGCAATGAAGGTTATTTTCCAGAGTTCCAACTAATATAGTTGACCTATCACACTAGGCATTAACACAAGGTACTCGAGCCTCCGTGAGAAGAAAAGAAAAAAAACGGCGACAGGTGATGACTGAGTATTTGGCTGCGTTGTGTGGTTCCCTGTCATCAAAAAGTTTACCAAAGCATCGAGAATAAACCTCTTCCTTAAATGGTGGTCCTAAATTCTACTCTTCTGTATTTGTGTGGTTTGCTTCTCTTGCCTCAAAGGGAAATTATTTTGAAGACAGTAAAAGTATCTCTCAAAATCGAGGCCAAAGTCTCATGTGCATGTACATGGAAGAATAAAAATAAGCTCTGCCGTTATGAAAGAGGTTTGTGGAAAGTAAAATTTTAAGGGCATATTACACTGACTCATGCCTATCAGAGGGCTCGAGAAAGAGCTGGCTGAATCTGTGTTTCCGTTATTGATGAGGGTCCTTAAAGCCTCGATCATAGTGTTTATTCATTCGAAAATTGACTGCCTTTTTCGGGATCATTAGAATATTCATTAAAATATTAAGGAACCTTACTGGGGCATCAGGTAAATGTGACAGGTAACTACTTTCAACACAAATAAGAGCTTGAAGGAATAAATATTTTTGTCAACTCATAAGAATGCTCTAAAGATAGGGAAACAAATTAAAGTCGAAGTCGTAGACCGATACATTACTTATTAAAGGAATTTTTTCGGATGGTCTATTAGCCATAAGAGACTCCAAGGTAGCATCAACTAATATGCATTCCGAATTCAAGATATAAATCAGGTTTTACGCAAGAAAATTCAATTATGGTTTTCCTAAGAAGCAATTACTGCAGTTGGTGTTATTTTTTTTTCTGTTTTTTTTTTTTTTCCAAGTAGCTTAGGCGAAACAATGTGGACAAATTACAGCTTCTTTCAAAAGCTTCGCTTTGGTCCAAAATAGTTCACCTTCAATTTCCCTCACAATTGACGGGAATCAAGATATTTTATTCAACAATGCAGTCTTTAGCAATTCATGAATAAACGGTAGCTGGAGGCACCCCTTCAAATAACGTCTTTTCGATGTGTTTTACTCGAGATTTCTAGCTAAAATAAAAATCAATGGATCAGGTTAAAATTAGGTTACTCTGTGTTTCCTCATTCCTGGCCAACTTCTTTGTAACACTGATCGATTTTTTATGTTTTAAAAAGATGCATTTTTGCTTAATTTCCAAATGTACTGAGTCAGAAGCTATCAGTCGGTTATCAATGACTTAAAATGTCATTCGGATCTACGACTACATTTAATGATAAAAAACCTTTCTATTAGAAAATCCCACCTTCTAGTTCCCGTTGTAAAGACGAAAAACCCAATTTATCATTCACAGATCTAGAGGATCTTTTCGTCGACAGTTTCTATAAATATAAATGCCATAATCGTTAAATACGGTTGGTCTATGAAAGCAGAAGGCGTCAGGACGTTTTAAGCAATACATCACCTTGGAATTGTGGTTAATCCTTCTTAGGTAAGTATAGAGAAATTTTGAAACGGCGCTCAGTTTCTTGCGATCGAAAGCTCTCGATCTACTTTCAGCTGCAACTTCCTGTATTCAAGTTTAGAATGATTAGCTAAGTTTACAGTGTTTGGTGCCTAA